AATAAAGAACACCTAGGTTCAAAGAGAAAGCTGATAGTTTTAATCTTTTGCTTATCCAGCCTGTTAATGCAAATAAACTTGCTTCATAGCACACCCATCAGATCGAGTCCAGATTAGTTGCTGGTTAGATAATTCTTCTCTTGGCTATTCCTTCCTGCTCCACGCAGTGTTTGTTCTTTGTAACAGGCAACAATAACAGCATGACTAGCTATCCAGCCCTCTGTAGAATACTAGTAACTCTATTTTGGGAAAACTGGAAGGAAGCCTGTGATGAGGCCTTAATCTATGCAATTAAATTCAGTTTAGGATCACACATGAAATTAATCTTTTTTCACAAAATCTAAAAACACATATTTTTCCCCCCACTCTCTGTTGGTACAGGGAAAGCAAAATGCAGAAAAGTGTCTGGCTAAGGGAGAAAATAAATAGAGTGTAGGTTTTGCTGCTGTAGCTTTCAGTGTGAATACTAAGGCTTCGGGGTAAAAAAAGCTCAACGAGGACATCCATGAATAAATCAGGAAGACTGTTGAAAGTCCAGAATCTGAATATCTACTATCAACTAACAGCTGTTAGTCAGTAGTCGTCCCATGCCACTTGTGTGTTTTTGCCTTCACGTGGTGTTTGGAATGTCCAGAATTGCTGCCAGCGCACTCAGTACTAAACAAACCAAAGAAGAAAAGCACTTTAAACTCATCATGGGCGGTATTAAAAGGACAGTTGTCCTCTTTGGTCCCTGGACTTTTGTCTTCAACATTAGTGCAACCCACTCACTCCCACACAGGCACACAAATATATCTAAACCTGTGAAGCTCCCTGCTCTGAAAATAGCAATTAGAGAAGAGACTGAGAGGCAAGAGAAGGAAAGAAAAATAGAGGAAAACATAGCACAGTAGGTCGTGCGTCATCCCAAGAGATTGCAAGGGCTATTACTCATGGCACGCTTTAATAGAAAAGCAATGCTTTACCTTCTTCACTCAAATACCTCAGGTGCTATTTTAGTGTAGTTGAGCTGCAAAATGGCACAGCTCAGCCCTTCAAAGATGAAGGCTGACAAAGATGGTGGGTGGGCGTTCAGCTCAGCGAATAAGGACGTGCATCTATGCTTCTACTGTGTCTACTGATGGAAACAAGGGCTAGAGGGATTTACGAAAAAGTTGAGAATTTGGGCTAAAAAATGGGAGGAAACTATAAAAACAAGATCAAATGGGCAGTAATTTAAGGTGGTATCAAGGAGCGGAGGCGGTAGCATCTTGAGCTGTGTGCGACAGCCTTGAGCTGAAGCTTTTATAATGTCTCCCCCCAACTGGCTTCATCAATAAGCAGGGAGCAGTTCTTATATGTCAACTCCTACACAGTTTGAACTCATAAAAGCATTTCAGGAAGATCACTCAGGAGAGCATACTAAATACTGACAGATATGTTCACATGAACTTTCACAGTGGGAATAGCTAGTAAAGCTACAAGCTTACCCCGGTGAATGAAAACATTATTAAAAAAAAATAATAGTTATATAACAAAATCGTGAACACGTCAGACAGATGGCACACTATTTGTCAGAATGTATGTTACCTCACTCGTTCTGAAAATGACCCTGTAGTTGTACTGCTGTCCATGGTCTTTGTGTTCCTCCAGCTTCTCCCTTCTCAGACTCACCGCCACAGGGCCCAGATTCTCATCTACCCCCAGGTAATTCCAGTGCTCTAGGGGTGAAAAGTATTGGGATTTCAGATGCAGACATAAATTGATGACAGAGGACAGGAGAGATAAAACTACAGAAAGGAAGAAAACCTGAGCAATTATTCCACTATGTGTATTGCAGCTGAATTATATCAACTATTAAAAGTTTACAGAACGTTCACACCTTAACTAATGACTCTTCGCTGGTTGCCAGGTTTTCTCACGTGTAATGCAGAATGAAGTATAACTTTTGCACCTTGTCTAATTAGTGTCTAAAACACTACAAATGGTACTGTTTCTGCCATTACAGTCCACAGCATTTGCTCTAAGACTGGAAACGTTCAGTAAGACAAATTGAAAAGCACCCACTAAAGTTGAAGAACTACAAATCAAAAAAGCCCAAACTATCCTATTTTCTCACCTCTGAGATAAAAGTACTTTCGGTAGTAATAGGCACCAAGGTCAACATGTTCCACAATGTATCGTTTGGACCTGTCGGCATGTTGACTAGGCCCGTCCTTGGAAGCCTCCAACACAGCCACACCTGCATTGGTAAAATGGGTAGTAAGGGTGGCATCCAAAGGGCCTTCTTCTGTACTGCCAGAGGAATTGCTTGAGCTCCCACCGCTTCCTATGCTTCCCTGCTGGAAGATTAATAAAAAAGGAAAGGTAAAGCCAGCAAGCTGTAAACCACATCATCATATTTTTATCTTTACATCTTAAATATGCAGAAATCTGAGCGCTTTTCAGTGCGTTTTCAAAATGCACATCTGCAGACTGCAGCATCAATATTAAAACAGCAGAACCAGAGAAACCGTTTTATATATTAAAATGCATTACATTATTTGCATATATCTAAGAAAATATAATGACTACTCAAGCAGACCTACCTGTTTAACAGGAGAAATGTTCCTTTCCCCCTCTCCACCAATCTCATTCCTGAAACAAGGGCAGCTAAGAACCAAATCATTGCTCTTATCATCGCCAGGGTCCAAGGCAGGGTTGGTACCGCCTCCTATCCCCTCCTTGCTTAGCTCTTCTTGGGAGCCACAAGGTGACCCATACACTCCACTCTGATTAGACGAAAGAGAGGACGAGGCCGAAGCAGAGGCGGCAGCTGCAGCGGAGGCACCAGTAGTGGTGTTTTTGCGTTTGGCTCCAGATTGCCGACTTTGAATCGCCTCATTGAGGTCAAAGAGTAGAGACTGAACATCAAAATGGGCAAATCCCTTTTGGCACGCCCAAGGTTTGGGAGGTGGTCCACTCTCATCCCCTTTCCCACCATCTTCAGCATCCGAGCCAGCCCTTGATGTGTCACCCTCCACCTTTACACTGCGCAGCTTACGGAAGATCGACTCTCCACCTGTTTCTGACTTTGACCTTCTCTTCAAATGCTTCTCTCGTTCCTTCAGCCGACTGGCTGGACTACCTCTGGCTGGACCCAAAGGTCCATCTGGCAGATCCAGAGCAGCCTGTTTTATGGGAGCAACAGTAAGGAGTTCTGTTAGCCTTTCTGGAGCTGGGCTTCGCTGATCCGGGGCCTCAGCGGAGTGGTATCCCTTTAGCATATCAAAGAAGCTCTCTCCTGACACACCATGCTTGTCTATAGATGAAGTGCTGCCATATTCCCGGTGCATGGGTGTCCACCCGGAGAACGACCAGCCCTCGTTCCCATCCCCGTCGAGCTCACTGATAGTTATATCACTGTTACTGCGTTGGCGGATGCGTCTCATGCCCTTGCGAGGGGAACCCAGATAGCCATCCGGTGACAGGAAGCGATTGTCCTTCCCCTTGCTTTGCATCTTGCTCTTTAGTGTGTTGTGGATGTTGCGCAGCATGGATGAGTCCTGTGGGCTTATCAGGTGACCCAGCTTGGCTGACAGATTGCTATGGGCTGTGACGGCTGACACCCCCCCTCCTCCACTCCCACCACTACCACCACCTCCACCACCGCCTCCCCCTCTTTCAAGTCTTTCTCTATCTCCACTTCCTGACCCTGAAGAGCTAGTGGTGTTGGTAGAGCTGGGTGAGTCTGTTTCCACAGTGATGTGCCAAACACCCCCTCCTCCCCCATCTTTTCTTGGTGGCCAGTCAGCTACGCGAGCCCGAACCCCCATCTTTGGGACGCCAGGGTTGGTGCCCGTGGTTGAAGAAGAGGAGATGTGGGCGCTCTCACTGCGAGGTGGTGGTGCCCCTCCATTAGGCAGTCGCAGACGACGAGTGTAGAACTCATCGGTAGCCGACACCGAGCCCCCAACTGAGCGCTCTGTTTGAGAGCGCTTCAGACTGGTCATGACGGAGTCGGGAAATGGTGTTGGGAGGGGATATGGAAGGGAAAGGTAAGGATGGGGTGCTAATGAGATTAGATTCGGGTCAACATAACGGCCACTGAGTGAAGTGATTCAAGAGGCTAAGGGACATTTAGTGCTGTGGAAACAGAAAAGGAAAAGTAAACAGGAAAAATTCAATATTTTCTTTAGTAATATAATAATTATTGTAGACCAATATTTAATAACTATAGTTGACGAAAGGACAGCAGACAATTGGTTAAAGCTTAAGAACCAATGGAAAATGGCTGAAATGAATTTTACAGGTAAAACACTGAGCCTTCAAAAGGTTTAATTAAAAATTGCAATATACATATTATATTCAACACTTATCAATAGTTGCATCACAATACTTGGGACATTAAGAGAAAGTTCACCGATAAATCTAATTTATATTTTATACAAGGTGCATACAATGAAACTAAACGAGAACTGCCTTACAACAGCATTGGATTTCTGAAAACATAACCACCCCCCCCACCCCCACCCCCAATCGGACTCTTTGGGGGGGATTTTGGACACCATAAGGCAAGTGTGATCAGGATCTATTACATTCATGAAAAGCCTGTCATGTCTGGAGATGATATGCCCAATGGTCAGCTTACACGAAGACAATCTAGAAGGATAAATGGCACTAATGATTTTAACCATTAAAAAAAAAAAGGGGGGGGGGGGATTTTGTACCTCTACAGTAGTGAGTCTTGATGAAGAGAAATTAGTTGATGGCCAACTTTTATTGTTGAAGACTCTTACAAGCAGTCTGCTTAGGAATCAGGTGACAGGGGACTCTTTCTATCTGGAACTCGGCAACTGAGAAGAACAATAGAGAGAGAAAACAGAAAGCAAAGACAGAAGGAAACCGAAGACGAGTCAGATTACAAGCCAAATTACATTCAGTGCTACATACTCTTTAGTATTACATTTCTTTCAGATACTCTACTGCAGTAGTAAAGAAATAGGAAGCTATGGTATTGTTGTGAAATTTTGAGATCCTCATATACAGCATACAGAATATACTCTAGGGTTTAGAGTCTATCCATTTTTACTGCAGTGTCAAAGATTAGATCCCCTGTTATTTAATTAACAGCTACGTGAGAGCCTAGTAATTTTACACATCAAGCCCAGTCTGCTATTTAGTCATAGGGAGTATCTCACAGCCTGTAAAGTTGAGAATGAAGTCTTCCCAGGCTCTTTAGAGTACATTAACCAGCAAAACCCTTTTTCCAAATTTGGAGCTTCTTAGCTTAAACTTTGCAATGTGTTCTAAAACTACCAGGGTATTCAACAAGCAGCAAAAGTCTTTAAAAAAATGCTATATTTAAAAATATCTTTAAAATATACATTTTTTCCTTTCTCTTTATGCAGTGGTGGATGCCAAATATTAACACGACAAATATTAAAAACATTTTTTAAAAAAAGCTTAAGCTTCAGCCTGCTCTAAAGTAAACTCCTCTTACTTCAGACAGTTTTTTTTCCTTCTCTTGTATACTAATTATGTTATAGATCAGCAGGATTAATATGGCCATGTCCACCGCAGAGCTCTGGCTCATTGATAGTGGCAGTCAATCAGGACAAAGTTAGGTAAAGTTAGATTTTTTGGCAAAATGAATGAACTTGGGTGCTGGACCAAGTTGCAGTGCTAGGCAAGTAAACATTTTTTTGAAATGTGGATCATGCAAAAGTACTCTACTAGACATTATAAGGTTAACAAAATATATATTAGATAACTAGAGCCACTTAAGTACCTTAAGGATGGAGATTAAAGTAATACAACAGGAAAAAAAAAAACCCTCACAGGATGCCACAGTAAGGATGGGCAGCTCATTTAGTCAGTCAAACACAATGTGGCAGCAATTGCTTTACAGCACTATTCACAAGTTTAAGAAGGACCAGCTTGCTTCAGTATGTGCTCGTCTACTGCTGGGTCCATAATGATGCACCACTTCTCCCTTTCAGACCAAATTCTGAATCACCATGGTGATACAGAGTTTTGTACAGTGCATGTTTTAGTAAGAGAGTGAGTGAGTGAGTGAGTGAGTGAGTGTGAGAGAGAAAGAAGAGCGGGTATTGATCGCTTCACACAGAACTCGCTGTGAGCAGTTTTCATGAAATTACCTTTTCTTGGTTTGTGGATTAACTGGGAAAACCACAACAATGGTGTAACAGAGTTGTTGAGCGTTTTGAGTGTAATCTTTAATGTAAGTGGAACAAACACTGTGGATCGCTAACACGATTCATGGTTGTGTCACAAATTTCTCCATGTCTTTAAAACGGAAACCATCTACGTGGTTCAGCTCCAAGTAGTAATTAAGATATTTTTTATATTTATATCACCTAAAGGTGCTTTGGTGTACTACAGAATCTGCTCAGTTTCCCAGTGCTCACTGAACACCAAATTCTCTTTCATTTCACTTAAGCATAAGTGTGTTTGAGCACAAGTATCTATTTCCCTTACACACATAATGAGGAGCCAAACACTAAGGGAACATTCTGGATTTCCTAAAGAGGCCTCTGTATTTTCTGCAAATTGTTTTGGGACAAAAAACAATTCTCAATTGTCTTGTCTCCATTGGTGCATTAGTACAACTGTTTTCAAAGGGGTTACAATGATTTGCAAATCACTGCGTTTTGCTTTTATTCATTTTTTCCCAGAAACACATTAGTAGAACAGATATACAATCATCTTGGGTGCTTTATAAACAGTTTCAAATGTCTCAAAAGAGAGCGAACTGTGAAACTGAAAGAACATGAATATAGATGAACCTCCTGCGAGCGATTTTCTTCTATGCCAGCAAAAGCTTGTCAAACTTTTTACTTCATTGGAAATATCAAAAATCAGTACGACGCTGGCATACTTTCAACCCACTGTAGACCAACATCGATTGGTTCAACTTTTTTCCCACCCGAGGCTCCTTTAATTAAACTCAAATGAACAGATATTCTCCCATTAACCAAAGCAGAAGAAGGGGCTGAGTAACTGTAAGACTGTTTCCCAATATCCAGACACATTTTGGTCCTATTACAGAATCAACTGGCCATTGCGGCTCTGTTTGCAGTACAGTAATCCCTGCAGTACTTCAATTGTCATTCCAAAATAGGAGATCTCTCGCTTCTGTTGTAGGCTGACTGATAAAGGCCCTTGTGAATGAGGACACTGCTTGCACAATAACACCCAATTTTGAGGCTTGTTACAAAAGTATGTGAATACAAGTTGATAACATTACTGACCTTGAAGCTAATCATAACAGGCTTCTTCTACCAAATAAGAACAAATTTCAATTTTTTCTTATCCAAATTAATGCAAACAAGAGAACAAGTGGATGTTCTAATCCACAAGCTGCTTAATTTGCACAAAATCCGCTGGGTTGATATTAGGCTAAAAATATTTTTTCTAATTTTCTCATTTATATACAAATCTCGTTTACAACTGTTTTACATGTTCTGTTGTTACACAAAATCTGATTAGGAATAGTTCTCTACCACACTCCTGCTTATTTTTGATCATTTCTGCAGAACATATCATCCTGGGTAAACAGTCGCATTATCCATTTGGCTGTGCAGAGGTAAAAACAAAGCACATATGCTGGTATTTTGAACATATTCGATCATTCACATCAGCACTGTCACATCAGCTATCACCATCAAAAACAGCACATTTGTTTTTACCTCCTGTTCCACAAAGTCTGCTATGAACCAGTGTCGTCTCCAAGATACTACCACTCAAAAACTGTATCCCAAATAACTAGCTGCAGAGTGCCCTGGATTGCGTAGTACTTTAAAAAAAAATTAGTTGGATAGTACGTGGAGAAAAACAAAACAGTGAAAGAGTTTGAGAACTGAGCAAACAGGAAGAGGATTAAACTGTATGCTTGGCTGGAAGACTGGTAATTCAAAATGAATGAATGTGATGTTGCACGCATCTATGCAGCCACTGAGGACCAATTATACTGACAGATACTCAGTAACCTTTAGCAGTGTCTAAATGAGGTCGATTCCTGAGGTAAACACGCAGCATCCTTGGCCCAGTGAATGTAATGGCTGCTGATGTTATCTGTTGGCCCAGCTGGCAGGAAACTGTCAACAGAGGGATTTATTTACTTCTTACAAATGATAGTGGCTGGGACCCCAAGCACATTACCACACAGTGAAAGCGGGTGTATAATATCATATCAAGCACTCAAGATTTTAAAGATAAAAATCTAGAGATTTACATGAGAGCAAGTTCAATTCTCTACAGTGGGAATTTTTCACACAAAAAACGAACCCAAAAATAAAATTAAAAAAAAACCAAAAAAAACATGATTTTTAATTTGACTGTTGTGCATTTGCAGATGTCTTACAGCTTAGTCACTGTAAATTTCCATAGTAGGAATCATTACAATGGCTAGTACTTTGTTGTACATACAGACATATAAATGTGTCGAGACATACTAGGAAAAATGTAAACTAACTGCAATACTGCAGATTTACTATGTATTATAATAAATCAGATATCATAGGGCGAGAGGCGGGGTACAACCTGGACAGCTTGCAGAGTTAAAACAGAGAGACAGACCACCATTCACACTCACATTCACACCTATGGCCATTTTAGAATGATTTTAGAATCACCAATAAACCTAACCCCACTAACTTAATTTCTTTGGACTGAGGAGAGAAACCGGAGTACCCAGAGAGAACCCGTGCAGAAACGGGGAAAAACACACAAAGTCCACACAGAAAAGCCCCAGTCAGATGATGGATTTGAACCCAGGACATTCTTGCTGCGAGGCAATTTGTTAGCACTGTTAAACAATCATTACCATTTATAAAAGAAATAGTATTACTGGCATTAGCATTGTATAACTGACATTATTACCATAAAAAAAACAAAAAAAAAGCAGGGTTTGTTTTGGCTCAGAATGGCTGTGGGGATGACTATGTACAGAGGTACAATGAGCTAATAACATGGGTTTTTTTTAAAAAAAGAAAAAAGAAAAAAGAAAAAAGAAAAAAAAAAGAAAAGAAATGATTATAATTCTGGTGATTTTTCTTTTCCTCTGGCTAAAAACCTCTGAGGCAACAAAACCATGAACAGGGGCGTTGGCTGTTTGTTCTCACTGGGAGCACCCTTTAAATATTCCTGTGTTCTGCTAAAAAAAAAAAAAAAACATTTCTGCTTTAAAGTAACATTCAGAATGTGGAAACCCCTTTGTTGTAACCCATTAATTTATCTTGAATTAAGCAGTCACTGTTTGGCGACTGGCAGTTACGGCCATTTCCAAGTAAACACTCCACATCATTCCAATAAAAGTTTCCATGAGGATTTCAACCTGGAGTTAGTGTAATTGTCTGAATAAGTAATCACTAAACAGTGACTTCAGTGTGACCTCATCATTACCAGTCAGAGATGATATGGTTTGTAATTCCCCAGAACACTTCCAGCAAAGAATTATGTAATGGTCTACCAATTATTGCGGGTACAAAAGTCATGTCTAGGACAGATGGTTTGTTGCATTCACTCCCACACACATACACACTTCCTTTTATATGGTGAAGTGGCTGGTGAGTGTAGTTTTCTGTCATTCAATAAAAATAAACAGACATGAAACTTCTCATTGAAGTAATGCTGCAACTTGAGTTTTGTAATTGGAACACGTCAGCCATGTGTGACGTCAGGTGAAAATTATTAGACACATTTGTCATTTTTTCAGCTGTGCATGTTAAAAAAAAAAAATGGTAACGATCACCACAGCTGATGTCTTCTAACTATAGGATGTAAGTTAAAGTATTACTACGAGTGTCTACACTCAGTGGTAACTTCGCTTCTT